GTAAAACTGTTTTCCGGACGTATTAAAAAAAGACAGTGGCGTATCATATTTTTCGTTAAAAATATTTTTAGTGTAGATTAGAAATCGACATTCGAAAAATTAACAGGGCAACCTGTCATTCAGTTCTCCGAGGCAAAAAAAAATAATACTATTCTTTCCTTTTTTGTTTTCAATAAGCTTTAGAGGTCGCTACTGCGTTTCAAGGTTTAAAAATTTTAGGGTCAAAGATTGAATCAGGCATATCGCGTTACATTTTATATAAGAAAATGCAATGATCATTGCCATAAGTTACTTTGATACAGAGGTATAAAATTCCAAACATAAAATTATTTTTCCCATGTTAATTAAATGGGAAACTAAAATAAAAACAGTGACCTCTTAGAGTTGAGCTGAGACGCCCATATTTGATGAGGATTTCTTTTATATTAAATAGAAACATTTGAGAGGGTAAGAGCGAAAAAAAAATTAAATTTTATTTTTTTGAAGCACCCTAATATATATATATAAATTATAAAAAATATGACGAGTAGTTTTCGAGATATTAAGCATTTAAGTTTAAAAAACTTTGTCAAGGTAAACAGGTTTGACATTAAGTATATGTATTAGGGTGTCCCAAAAAAAAATAATATTTTTTTTCTTCTCGTCTCTTGTGAAAATATGTTTGTCATGTTTTAAGAGCCCTGTCAAAAGATCAGCACCATTAAAAAATTTTTAGGGGTCGCTCAAGATTTTTAAAAATTACCAAAATCGTCAAAAATTGGATTTTTTTTTATTTTAATTTTTTTCTCTTTCCGATATTTTTTTTTAATTTAATAATAATAATGATTCTGAAAATTTCAAATCGATATTTTAATTTCTAAAGGTCGCTCAAGATTTTTTTAACTTTCAAAGTAGAGTATTTTGAATGTTTTCGAGCGACCTCTGAATATAAATATCAGCGAACTTTTAGCGACCTTAAGAAATCAAAATATTGATTTGAAATTTACAAAATTTTTATTATTTTCAACCTAAAAAATAATATCGAGACGAGAAAAAGAATTAAAATAAAACAAAAATTCAATTTTTGACCATTTTGAAAATTTTTAAAAATCTTGAGCGACCCCTACAAAATTTTTAATCGAGCTGATATTTTGAAAGGGCTCTCACAGCATGATAAACTAACATATTTTTACAAGAGACAAGAAAAAAAAATATATTCTTTTTTTTTGGGACACCCTAATATGTATATTATACATTTGAGTGCATCTAGAAAAAAATTTATGCAACATGATCCACTTATTATTGGACACCGAAAAACCTTTTAATTCCTTAGTAAATTTTGAAAAGGTTTTGTCTTTAGATAAGACAAAACCTTTATTGGATGTCCTAAGAATTACATCTCTAATATCTCTAATACTAAGTATTATTGGACACCGAAAAACCTTTTAATTCCTTAGTAAATTTTGAAAAGGTTTTGTCTTCAGATAAGACAAAACCTTTATTGGATGTCCTAAGAATTACATCTCTAATATCTCTAATACTAAGTAGGGTGTAGGACGTTTTAATTAAACCCATCAAAACGCGCCAATTCCATCGGCAAGCCGCGCTGCCGAATAAGTGTATAATATCTTATATCTTCATTTTAAAAGTATACATCAAGAGTAAATCCAAACTTGAACAGCAAAAAGCTGACCAATTAGGCGGTCCAATCACGGGCAAGCGCGAGCGCCATGCGGTTGCGTAGAACCAGAGGAAGGGTGATGCTTGACAAACATCAGGCAGAATGTTCGAGAATTAAATAATTATTTACTTATGTATTAATACATAAGTAATTAATACATTAATTCTTGTCAAAAGATCAGCTCCATTACAAATTTTTTAGGGGTCGCTCAGGATTTTTAAAAGTTTCCAAAATCGTAAAAAAATTTTTTTCTCGTTCCAATATTATTTTTTAATTTGAAAATAATAATGATTTTTTTAACTTTCAAATGAGTCCATATTTCCAAAACTTGCTATTTGCTGGAATGCATTTTTTTGGGAAATCAAAAAAAACGACTAACGTTAGTATACTGATTTTCCAGGAGTGGAAAGTAGAAGTTTGCATCCTAAAAGAGTTACATATTTTTAGAAAAAAATTAATGTATATTGCATATAGCCAGTTTTAAAAATAAATTTAATTTAAAAAAAGTTTAATAACGCAGGCAAGGGATTTTTTGAGGAAAAAATAACTGTTTTATTTTTATTAATACACAATAATATGTACGTAGGTAGTAAGTACTTATAAACATTAAAAAACAAATGGAAACTCTTGGGAACTTAAACAAAACAGGAGTCATCCTCGGCATTTTGGTAGCTTTTCAAACCATCAACAGTTTCTTCTACTGAGGAAGAGGAAGAACCTTTCTGCAAGTGTTCTTTGTAAAAATCTAGTTCTGGAAGGCTGGTCCAATTTTCTCCATAAGGTTTTGCAAGGAGACCAATAATAGTCTTTTTTATCCCCTTTCAGTGTTTTCCCAAGTGGTAATTTCCTAGGAGCCATTAAAGAAAGACAAAAGCACGTGTTTATCACGTGGGCAACGAGCGTTTAATTTGATTGGCGGCAGAGCAAAGAGCGAGTTTTGCAAATAATGGACTCAAATAGAGTATTTTGAATGTTTTCGAGCGACCTCTATAAATATCAACGAACTTTTAGCGACCTTTCAAAATCAAAATATTGATTTGAAATTTACAGAATTTTTATTATTTTCAAGCTAAAAAATAATATCGAGACGAGAAAAAAAATTAAAATAAAACAAAAATTCAATTTTTGACAATTTTGAAATTTTTTTAAAATCTTGAGCGAACCCTAAAATTTTTTTTTAAATATATATATATATATATATACCGATCCTTCATTTAAAAGCTATACATAGAAAAAATACATTGTTAAAGTATATTTCCACGGGCGTTATAGGTATTAGTGGTTTTTTGGGATCTGCTCAGTGTTGTCGATTTTTTGGTTCTTAAAAGAACCGTAGGTCTGACGACGTTTCGGTACAATCTCATGTACCATCTTCAGGTCTTATCTATTGGGCTGCTGTTGCTGTTGCTCCACGTCTAACTCGCAGCAGAGCAGCAACAGCAGCCTAGCAGATAAGACCTGAATATAGTACATGATATTGTACCGAAACGTCATCAGGCATACGGTTCTTTTAAGAACCAAAAACCTACAACACGGAGCAGATCACGAAAAACCACTAATACATATATATATATATATATATATATATATATATATATATACCGATCCTTCATTTAACATATATATGTGTTTTTTGTCTAAATATTTAAGTTGTATATAATAAATTTTATTTGTGCATGTGAAATATAATACCTACATAAGTTTTCTTTTAAGTAGGTATATTTTGTTTGTTTATGACAGGATAAGAGCAAGACAGGTCAAATGTTGGAATTCCTCGGGGCAATCTGGCGATAACTGTGACGTAGAGGGAGAGAAAGTTTTCAGCCCAGATGTGCAACAAGTACCTGCGTTCAAAAACAAGGACAGTTTTGGACGAGCCGTGGCCAACTTAAGACGTTTTAACTTTAAACCTTTTAACTATATTTAATTAATGTGTAATATCATAGTCACTTGTAAATAAAACCGATTTACCATCATTGCTGATTATTTCCCTACAAATTTTGGGGGCTCAACCGGGATACAGCAACGTTTATTCGCGAGTGAAAAGTGATAACTGAGAAAAACAGTGCAAAATTAAAGTTAAACAACATGGCAGAATCTTTCACGAACGAAACTCCCAAGGCAGAGACGGAGTTGGTATGCGAAGATATTGCGGATGAGCGAGTAAATAGCAGGACGGTTACCGAACTCAAGGAGGAGCTGCGGCGACGGCGGCTGCGAGTGTCGGGTAACAAACGAGAGCTACGAACTCGTCTTATGGCCGCATTAACGTTGGTGAGAGTTCATGGGGCCCAAGACAAGGAAGACGGCAACGGCGAAGACGACGGCGATGACGACGGCAACGGCGATGAAAAAGACGACGGCAATGACGACGGCAACGGCGATGACGAAGATGGCGACAACAACGCCAGAGTGGTGGAGCACGCAGACGGCAGCCGCCACAACCGCAAGGGCCGAAAGGAAGACGACGACGACGAAGATCAAGAAGACTATGACGATGGCAGCAGTAGAAATCGTGCGACGACGCCTACAAGAAGAAGACGTCAACGATCGCCATCAAAGCATCGGCTAATTTTTAGAGACGTGGAAGAATCCTTAGAGAAATTTAGCGGCGACGGTCACTCTAATGTTTGACGATGGATTGAGGATTTTGAAGAAATGTCAGAAATGTCCGACTTGCAAAAAGTGGCGTACGCTAAAATATTATTGACGGGGTCAGCCAAATTATTTGTGGCGTACGAGCGCTGTGGAAAGACGTGGAAAAAGCTAAAGAGCGCACTGAAAAATTAATGTGATGTAGAGGTCGACAGTTACCAGGTGCATCAAGAATTAAAGGCCCGAAAAAAGAAATCCGGTGAGACTAATAAAAAATACATATACAAAATGATGGAGATTGCGGGTCAAGCAGAGGTAGAAAAGCGGGCGGTGATTCAACAAGTCCATATTATATGGAGCAACAACTATCAAACAGCTTAAAGAAAGGTTTGGCCAGTACGAAAACATGAGGAGAGAAATGCAAGGAAAAACAAAAGCAGCAGAACGAAAAGGCGACGGTAAAAGCTTTCAGAAGAAACCGGCTACAGTGATGGAATAAGCGAATCCGAAACGGTGTTTCAACTGTGGTGAAACAAACCATATAAGTGCGGAGTGTCCGGAAAAATAAAAGGGCGTAAAGTGTTTTTAGTGCAATGAGTTTGGGCATATAGCATCTAAATTTCCCCCGAAATCCGAAAAAACAATCAAAGAAATTAATGTTGTTTCACGGCAGCGTGAGCAAAAGTACCTGATAGGGCAATACAAGTTTGCAGCACTAGTAGATACGGGTAGTGATTTGACTTTCATGCAAACGGACGAATATGTGAAAATCGGATCTCCCGATCGTAAAGTTAAGTTTGAGGGACTTGGTTCTAGCAGTAACGAAACTTTAGGTGAATTTACAGTAAATGTAAATGTAGATGAAGAAAACTATCCAGTTAAGTTTCACGTCGTGGCGGGCGAAATTTTTAAATGGGGTTTGCTGCTAGGAACGGATTTTCTAGATAAAGTGGAACTATGCGTTAAAGGAGGTGACGTTACGTTCGCGAAAATAAATAAAACTGACAATAACTCGGAAGTGTAGCATATTTATAAAATAAATGTGATCGATGAAGCTAAGCTAGCACACGAAGACAAACGTCAGGATCGCGAAAAGCTGAAAAAATTACCTGAGAAAACCTGTAGTGTACGAATACAAGCCGAAATTATTCTGAAAGACGATATTCAAGTGTCGGCCAGGCCGAGAAGATTAGCTCCGTCGGAGAGAAATGAAGACGAAAACGTGCGTAAATTAAATGACGCAGCAACGCGCGACGAAGACGACGGTATTTTAATAAAAAATGAACTTTTATATAAAGAAATCAGTGATGATGTGTTGTTAGTAGTGCCAAAGACAAAAGCAGTTAACCATTTTCCGCGACGAATGTTAAGACAGTGCAAAGTGTTTTAGGACTAACCGAATATTTTCGTAAGTTTATTCCGCGATACTCGCAAATAGCACGACCGCTAAAGGACTTGTGGAAAAAAGAGGCGAAGTTTAAGTCCGAAGCGCGCGAAGTAAAAGGTTTTGAAACATTAAGTGTAAACCGGTGTTACGATCATACCGTATTGACGTCGGGACGGAATTTCATACCGATGCATCAGGATACGGTTACGGGGTAATTTCAATGCAGCGTGACAGTGAAGATAGACAATTTCATCCTATTGATCAGGCAAACGGTAAGAAGACGTCGGCAAAAGAAAAATATCCCAGCGCCAATAAAAATCGAAAAAAGGCGACAAAACACAAGGAGGGCGATTTAGTAGCGCAATTCGCACCTGGATTGAAATTGCTTTCAAAATTTCTGGGGCCACACAGGATCGTACGGGTAATGTGACACGATCAGTACAGTGTTGCCAAAGTCGGCGAACATGAAGGACCACAGGAGACGTCATCAGCCGCTAGCCAAATTAAATCGTGGGCCAGCTGCGACAAGGACATCGATATCAGCGACGAAGAGGCCAAACATTTAGAAACGAAAAGGTTATCATGTTTTTTGTAATCATAACAGATAAATGTTCATTTAAAATAGAAGGATTAGTAAAAATTAACAAAACCTAATTTTTTAATGTAAATGGATGAAATTGCATATTTGAACGTAGTTTTTAGTTCTGAATAACTTTTCTTTATAACAATTTTCGATATTATCAAATATAAAGGTACTTTACTCTTGAGTCAAATTCATATTTTATGACATACCCCGTATACGACTAAAAAAAATTAATATTTGTGGGTTGCATTTTAAGTTGTACACCATGCAGAACTTTTTATAAAGAATATCTTTTTTTCCTAAAATTAATAATAAAAAAGTTTTCCATATGATTCCAAGATACTGAGACATACTGTATATATATATATATATATATATATATATATATATATATACTGGTGATTCATTTAGACCTTTTTTTAATTCTAAATAAAATATATATATATATAAAATGGAATTGGATGGCGGAATCTTTATTATGACCTGAAAGAACAATCTTTGACATTTATTTTTTGAAAATAATTTCATTTAAATGCTGGCCGCAACTACGCCGTGCGTGGTCCATTCGGAAGGTCCAATTTTCGTTCACTCTTTCTAGCATTGCGACCGGTATCTGCCCAATTATGAGAGTAATGTTGGCTTCTTAGTCCTGAATCGTAGCTGGCATATCCAGGGCCGGATTTACGAATTTGCCGCCCATGGGCCCAACGCATCATTACCCCGAATAACGAATGACTCAGCGAATAAGCTAGAGTCGCGCCCCACTCGCGTCGTGTACTGCCGCCCTCCTACGCAGTGACGCACTACGCAAAATAATAGTGTAGTCTGATATAAAATTATCTAATGTATTAAAAAACTTCTCTTCCAACTTTTTATAGTTTTAATTAGTGTATAAATCTGAGTGAAAACAAAAATTCTGCATAAAACGCTCTTGATTTTTTAGCAAAATTTGAACTGGCCCGGGCTCATGTGGCCCATGCCTAAATCCGGCCCTGGGCATATCGACAAAGACTTTTGATTTAACAAGACGGAGCTACGGCACACACATCGTGCGAAACAATAGCTTTATTGAGAAATCATTACTCGGGTAATTGGGCAGATACCGGTCGCAATGCTAGAAAGAGTGATCGAAAATTGGACCTTCCAAATGGACCACGTACAGCATTTAAATGAAATTATTTAAAAAAAAATAAATGTCAAAGATCGTTCTTTCAGGTCATAATAAAGATTCCGCCATCCAATTCCATTTTATGCGTTTTATTTAGAATTTAAAAAAAAAGGTCTAAATGAATCACCCTATATATATATTTATATAAATATATATATATATATATATATATATATATATATGTATATATATATATATATATATATATATATATATATATATATATGTTAAATGAAGGATCCTTCATTTAACACTTTCACTTCTGACATATTTTTGTTTCGAATTTCTGTAAAATTCGTTTACAGAACACTTTAATAAATTACATAAGATAAGTTTTGGCAAAAATCAGTGCCCGTAGCCATGACGGCATGGGGCGTCAAGCGCACTGAGAACCTAAAACTGCGCTAGAACAACGCTGACCTCTATATAATAATAATGATATAATATATCAAAAGGTTGCTTGCGTACGCATGACGGCCTAGGCCGTCAGCCGCAGTGAATGTGTTAAAAGCTATACATAGGAAAAATACATTGTTAAAGTAGACCAGATAAGACGCAGTCAGTACGAAGCGAAAATGTTTGCAGAAAATATTTGGACGAGTCGAGACTGACATGCGCCTTAATAGTTGACCTTGAAGCATGCATCGAGTACATCATTTTTGTTTTGCATTTGTGCGGTGTAACTTGGTGAACAATTAAAACTAAAAGATTTTTAAAATGAATCGCTATACTGTAGAGGAAAAGTTTGATATGATTTGTTGGGTAATTCAGGGAAATTCTTGTAGGGAAACGAGATATCTTTTCTCTCGAAAAGTCATTTTATAAAAAAATCTTTTCTCTACTCTCTAATTTAAAAACACAAATGTCATTTGCAGGAAATAATGGTTTGTGCAATGGTACAACAAGAGTCCACCGCTTCGGTTGCTAAACTTTCTGAAGACACCGTTAGTGTGGGCAAAGTCTATAAAATATTTAAAAACAAAAATAATCCTACAAATACCAGGTTTATCAGGAAGTTTATGATGATGACAAGTACCGCAGAATGGAATTCTGTAAAACCGTGATGGAAATGTCAAAGGAAAATTCGGAATTTACAATCTGTCCATTTTGCTTTACTGGGCAATCGAAAATGAGTACCGGCAGTAAAATTTGCATACTCAGTACCTAGAAAAATTGAATGTTTGGGCTGGTATTTTTGGGGATAACATTGTAGGACCATTTATTATTAATGTCAATTTAAACGTAGAATCTCACTTGCACTTATTGCGGAACCAAATTGTACCTCCATTGCGTCTCATTAATTCAAACCCAGATAATTTATGGTTTTAACAGGATTAATATCCAGCCCATACCCAGGTAGCACACTGACGTCTGCTGTCGTTTAAATGACGTCTGACGTCATTTAAATGTCAGCAGACGTCAGTGTGCTACCTGGGTAATAGTCGACGAGTTGTAGAATATCTACAACAAGTATTCCCCAACTAAATTTTGTCAACTCGGGGCATTATTCGGTGGCCGGCGAGGTCACCTGATTTGGTCCAATTAATTTTTTTTAAAGTCCATGATTTATGGCGACGGTAACATTCAAATTTAAATATCTTAAATAATTGTTTTGTTTTCTCTGTTAACAATGTGTCACATTATGTGACTTAACCTTAGTTTTAACTTGTCTGTTGTGTGCTGTGTCTGGTTGTGTTTGGCTGGTATTTCTTGGATTTAATGCTGCTAAATGAAATACATTTTCACGTTTAGATTAATTAGTTCACTTGGGGTATTTAATCGTATGACACATTGCAATTGAAAACTGCATGCGAAACTTTGGAGAGGTATTTGTTAAATTTCGTAAAAAATAATTTCTTTAGGAATAACATTGTTTTTGAAACAATATAGCTGTATTGTTATTAAATGTCAGGTCAATTTTTTTTTAACCAATACATCTAGTGCCGTTCCAAAAACAATTTTATTCGTAAATCAATTAATTTTTAATGAATTTAACGTATATACCTTCTTAATAATAATAATAATAACGTTTATTTTCAAAAAAACAACTACAGTTGTATAGAAAAGAACAAAAAATTGAAAATATGGCAATACCTTGAAAAAATACAAAAGTTTGTTATAAAATTTTGGTCCTAAAAACAAAATACTTCTTTGAAATAAACTGGTGTTATTTGATTCGTACATAATTAGACCACTTTGGCGAGTGTTTGCATTGTTGTTGGAAACAGGTGTTTTTCCTCAGGAATTAAAAAAGGCAAAAGTACAACCAATTTATAAGAAAGGCAGTAAAAATGAAATGGAAAACTATCGACCAATCTCTTTATTAACAACTTTTAGTAAAATAGCAGAAAAACTACTCAAAACTCGGATTGTGAAATTTATTAAATAAACAACAAAATTTGATGTGAGTCAGTATGGATATCAAGAGAACAGTAACACCCAAGCAGCAGTTACAGACTTTACAGAACACATTCTAAAAGAAGTGGATAAGGGAAAATATGTGGCAGGTATTTTCATAGATTTTTCCAAGGCCTTTGATACTGTGAATTTTAGGCAGCTACTTTATAAATTGGACAGAATGGGTTTTAGAGGAAAAGCGCTTGACCTAATAACATCATATCTACAAAAAAGAGAGCAATTTGTACAGATTGGTGAACATAAAAGTGAGAAGCTTTATCTTAAACAAGGTGTCCCACAAGGCTCCGTACTTGGACCAATTCTCTATTTATTGTATGTTCAAGATCTTAGATTTTTATGTAAAAACACAACGTACTTTTCTTATGCAGATGATACCGTCCTACTATACTCAGGAAATAATAAGGAAGAAATACAAAACAAGGCTAATGAAGACTTAAAACTATTTTTAGAGTGGACAAAAAATAACAACTTAAAGCTAAACAATAATAAAACGGTAAAGATGATATTTAAACATAAAAATAAAATAGACATTGACATTAATATCACAATAGGGCAGAAGAACCCAGTTACTGAATACAAATACCTGGGAATGTGAATCGACAATAAGTTAACTTGGAAAAGACACCTACAACATATAGAAGAAAAAATAATACCTTTAGTTGGATGTTTAAGAAGGTGCGGTGAAGAAATATGTGATAAATCCAAAATGCTGGTTTACAGGTCTTTTATAGAGTCTCATATTCGATATTTGATTACTACGTGGGGTTGTGCGTGTACTAGTGACTTGGAAAAGATTCAGAGAACTCAAAACAAGTGCCTTAAATCGTTGTTTAACATAAACAAATACTTTCCCAGTAGTGAATTGTACAAAACATTAGGCATAAGTAGTTTAAAAAGATTAAAGACTTTAGAACTTTTAAAGTTAATACATAGGATAAAATATAAAAAACAAAAAACAAAAATAGATCTACAAACAAATAACCAACTACATCAACACATAACAAGACAAAAAAACGATATACATAGGACACAATATTTATCAACTAGTGGAAACTACAGTGCTATAAATAATGCTATCATAGAGTTCAACAAACTACCTCTAGAAATTAAAAATATTTTAAACTATAACCTGTTTAAGAAAAAGATACAAGAGTACCTTGAGTTTTAAATATTCTACTTTAATTTAGTTTAATCTCTCTATAAACAATTTGTTAAACCATTTTTTATTATTTATTGTTACCTTAAGGCAGGATGTTTAAGTTAGAATACGTCACCAGTCTTATAGACTGACTTTGTATTCTTAAAGAAATTTCAATAGGCTGAAAATGAATGAAAGAATGTGATATTTTATTTTATTTTATTTGAACAAAAGAATGTGATATTTTATTTATTTTATTTTATTAGTACTATGAATTGTATTTATTTATTTTCAACTTTGAAATAAAGATTATTATTATTATTATTATTATTATTAAATAAATTCGAAAATAAACAAGGAAGGAAACGTTAAAATATTTTTTAATCTAAAGTATTCCCTGCAACTGTCCCTTCTTTTTAAACCTAAGATTATTCTTAGGGCGTATTTTTGTAATATAAAAATTTTAGAAGACGTTACTGGAGAGCCCCAGTTAATTACACCATATCTGAGGCGACTTTCGAAATAACTAAAATAAACTAATTGTAACGTCTCTACGCTAATTTCTTTAAGTTTTAAAATTCTTAGACAGTAGCAGGCAGATCTCAATGAGTTGTATAATGTATTAACGTTGTCCTTCCAGTTCAAAGCAGAATCTATAATTAAACCTAAAGTTCGTACTTTATTTTCATAATTGATGTTGAAATTTAAAGTAGGATGCTCAGTGTTGATTTGTCTTTAATGAAAATAGACACATTTTGTCTTTTCAAAATTAATTTCAATTTTGTTAAGAGTGCACCAAGTTTGTATTTTATTAATTGTCATATTTATACGATTTTTTTGAATTATAAAGAAAGTATCATCTGCAAACATAGTTGTTGTGGCAGTTGAGACGTTGGCTGACAAATCATTAATATAAAGTAAAAACAAAAATGGCCCTAAAATAGATCCTTGTGGGACCCCTGCCAGTTTCACCCCACTCTGAGTAAGCAGTGCTAAACTTAGTTGTTATTTGTGTCCTTTGATATCGGTTTTTAAGATAGGACCCAAACCAAGAAAGAGCTGTCCCTCTTATACCATAGTGCTCGAGTTTTAGAAGTATTACCTCAAAATTTACACTATCAAATGCTTAAAGTGTCCTATTCAGTTTAACCACCCTAAACTAATTAATTAGTCTGCTCGTAGAAATATATTTCAATTAACAACATTAAATCCAAGAAATACCAAGCACGGCAGCCAAACACAATAAAACATTTTGTTTTGATAACGGCAGCATAAACACAATCAGGAACTACAACATACAAATAAAAAGTAAGGTTAAGTCACATTGTTACCAGAAACTAGAGATGGGACGGTATCTGCGAAACTGTTAATTTGTCGCGGTATTGTGTTCCACGCCGAAAGCACACGTTACTTTGGAACTGCCAGAGGGTCTAGGAAGCAAGTCGCTGCAGGGGCTTCAGAGCGCTGTGTCGCTGTTCCCTGCACTCGGTTACTTTTTGTTCGCGTCGCCTTTTAAGTTTGTATTAAAGAATAGCGCGATTTTAACCGTGAGGGGAGAGCGAATTAGTATTTGTCATGAGTTTGGTAAACTCTTTTTTGTGTTTTTTTAATACAGAACTACTAAAACTTTGAACATCGTTTTTATTTATAGCAACAAAGAACACGAAGTACTTAAGGTGTCGGTAATAAAACTTTTGTCGCGGTATCATTTGGAACGGTACCGTAGAGGAATAGTAATTCCCATCTCTACCAGAAACAACAAAGCAATCATTTAAGATATTTAAATTTGAATAAACCGCGCTTCAAGCTGGTTCTTCCGGTAGCCACTAGAGTCGCCACCGTAACAATGTACGCCACTTCTAACAGGCAATCGGGCACTCTTTTGTGTTTGTTTTTATATGTTAAGCAGCCTACTTATGTATATCTGCGATTGCAAATATTTTCTGCGAACTTTTTTGCTTCGTGCTGACTGCGTCTTATGTGGTTCACTTTAACATTGTATTTTCCCTATATATAGATTTTAAATGAAAGATCGGTATATACATATACAGTGTATAATAATTATACACCTATATATTAGGGTGGTTCAAATATTCTTTTTATTGACTTTTGATGTCGAAAAACTAGTTGCTAAACACCTCAAAAAAACGAATGCTTTATTTCTTACTAACAAATGAATATAAAGCTAAACCCAATAAACATTTTGTTGTATATCTAAGGTCAAAATTTAAAGTTATGAAAAAAATATTTTTATTTTTTAATTTTATATTTATAACTCGCAGAAAAGTTGGGATTTTGAAATAAGTGATCCATATTTTTGTATTTTTTAGTTTTTTTAATAAACGTAAGCCTTTCAAATATAACCGCAACTACAGTTCAACTTCTACTTTAACCTTTTCTTAAAGACTAGGTACCGTAAAAAATATTAAGTTTATTTGTCGATTTTTTAAATATGTTTATAAATTTGTGTTATTATTAATTAAAATAACCTTTTAACTATTTTCACATTTTTTTCTAAAGTTTTATTTTAAAATATTATTTTTAAGTATTCCGGTATTCGAGCCTATTGAATGAGAGACATTTAAAACATTTATTTGTCATATAAATAATTACATTACAACATTTATACCAATTAATTATTCAGGAAAAGTTCTAAAAAACCCTTGTCATATTAAGATCTAGGTATCCAATCACTTGACCATGAGGGATATACTTTATAATAAAAAAACGTATTATTATTATTACGCACGCGCAATTATCTTTGAAACGTTTACGTTTATCTAAATAACAATAGACAACTTTTTTGTAAACATGTACTACATAGTAAACCTGAATAGGATCTAAAGATATGTTTATAAATTTTTTTAACTATTTTCACATTTATTTCAAAAATTTTATTTTAAAATATTATTTTTAAGTATTCCGGTATTCGAGCCTCTTGGATGAGAGACATTTAAAACATTTATTTGTCATATAAATAATTACATTACAACATTTATACCAATTAATTATTTAGGGAAAAAGTTAAAAAAAAACCCTTGTCATATTAAGATTTAGGTATTCAATCACTACGGGATATACTTTATAATAAAAAAAAGTATTATTATTATTACGCACGCGCAATTATCTTTGAAACGTTTACGTTTATCTAAATAACAATAGACAACTTTTTTGTAAACATTTACTACATAGTAAACCTGAATAGGATCTAAAGATATTTAAAAGTTTAAAAAAGTTTCAAAATTTTATAACTTGCAGAATAGTTAGGATTTTGAAATGAGTACTCAAAATATCTTTAGAACCTATTCAGGTTTACAAAAAAAACATAGGATAAGTTTTTTGTTGAGCATTTAGATTCATTTATTAGTGAGCTACAAAATGTTTTTCCTTAGAGTAATGTAAAAATGAAAAATTGCAATGAAAATGATCTTACTCTTAATAGTAAGAGCACATACGTAGATAGACTTTTTTGAGGTGCCAAGCAGTCAATTTTTAATTATCATAAATAAAAAAAAGAGAATAGTAGATTTTTTTAATCAAGTTAAGATATAAGTCTTAAATTAAAAATACCTTTTAAATAAGTTGTATACAATGCTTACCCAAGGTTATAGCACACAGCTGTGTGCTGTCGTTATAGTTATTAACATTATTATAGTCGTTTTATATAGATCTGGTTTGAAAAGTCAATATTTATATTAATTTATAAGGATTTCGTATAGACGTATCAATCTATGAAAATTCAGGCTTACAATTTAAGGTGTAATGTAACAATATACAGTCTTACACATATTACATTTTCATAACATGGAACTACTTTGCATTATAACTAGAGATGTACCGACTTTAGGTGATAAAATAAAACAAGCCATTGAAAATAATAGCTATTTGTGTATTAAGAGCGAAAAGTTTGACCCGCGACGCGTAGCGCAGCGCGGCTATCTCGCGAGTCAAATTGTCAAATTGTAGGTGCCTATTTAATAAGTACCAAGCAGTGTCAACTTAAAAATTTAAATAGAAAAGGAGAACTTATGATACCTCATTTGCTTCTCTATTCAACCCATATCTAAAATCTGTTTAATGGTTGCTAAGATATTAAACGTTTAAATAATAGTATATTAAAGAACTAATGTAAAACGAGCGACGAAGGAGCGAGTTTTGTATAGACGAGCAAAAATATATATATTTTATACCTTATATTTAATTTGGTCGAATTTTACTTTAGATAGTTGGTATCACAGTCATAAGTGTGACAGTTCGATTCGCCATGGCGTCCTTAATTTACTTATTTACAATAAGCGGCTGTTATTGTTAAAGAAGATAAAAAGGATTTTCTTTATTGCCAGAAAAGTCTCGTAAGTACTAGAAAAATCATAAAAATATTATAACCAATAGGCAAACTATTATTTTACTAGTATGCTGTTTAAAGTATAGCCAACCTTTAAAAACAAAATTTTGGGTGGGGTAAAGTATCTCATTACAGCAGCGAAAGCGGTGTTATAATGAAGTCATTATGAACGCAAAATAGATAAAATTAATTATCAAATTAAATTTTTGTTTTCATTTATTAAGTACAATAAATTTCATTAAATTAGATGTTCGAAATGCTCCCCTTGGACATTTTGACACAAAAATAGTCTGTTTCTGATTTCAGTTCTCACATTTGCAAACGTTTCTTGTGTATTAATCGCACATTCACGTCTAATCCGTTGTTATAGATCATCAATTGACCATATGCAAGGAATGCGGTCGATGTTGCCAATGGTAAAAAAATAAAATCCCCTATTGGGAACATTCAATTATATTACGTTGGCTACATTGAAATTTTGAATTTCCCGCACAAACTAAATTAATTTCCATCTTTTTTTTTTAATAATACTAAATAATAATAATTCCCACACTTGAAATTTATTATACAATTTTGGAACTACCTTCTTTATCTCTGGGAACTACTAGAATGTATGTCAGTTTGTGCGGGAAATTCAAAATTTCAGTGTAGCCAACGTAATATAATTGAATGTTCCCAATAGGAAATTTTACTTTTTTACCATTGGCAACATCGACCGCATTCCTTGCATATGGTCAATAGATTCCGGTTCGGTGATGTAGAGTCTACATTGTAAACCTTCGATTTTAAATAACCCTACAAAAAAAT